GAAGCGTCCTCTCGGTAAACAGAGAAGTGGTCTGCTGGGGGGAGAAAAGCGCTGGTTTCCAAACCACTGCTTTGTCAAATGGTGCTGACCTGCTGTGGAGTTTGCTTGGTGTTATGAGCAATGGGTAAACACTCTCCGGTGCTCTTATTTGCTCTCTGAGATACTCACCTCCTAAGGACAGAGGTCAGAGGAAGGAAATTGGGTAGTTGCTGCTGTATATTCAAATGATTAAGATTGGCCCAGATCCTGTAAAACTGAGCCAAAGAAGGACTTATGCCTGATTTATACACAGAGGCCCACAGGAGAGAGATTTAATGGAAACTGGATGCCCTGAAGGACAGGGCTGCAACAGTGGGACTGCGTAAAGCGTAAGAGAACCCTGGCTTGCAGCTTTCCATAGGTGTGGTGGTGGTGCAGGAGCGACACTCACAGTGACAAAGCAGGTGGCAGTTGCATGGAGGGGGAGGAGGGTCAGGGCAAGAGTGAGTCCTGTGTTTGCACAGTACAGGAGGGGCTCACAGGGCAATAGCTTTTTTTGTAGTGAACCTTATAAGGTGAATTTTGTTGATTCTGAAGGTAAAAGCAGCTGGCTGAGAGCTCTGGATAGCTGGGAGGCCCAGGAGAAGAGCAGGGCAGTAAATAACAAGTCCAGGTAGAGGGTGGTCAGAGCAGGGTCAGTGGTGACAGAAGAGGCACAACAAGTAATTCTATTCTGACTACGCTCCAGTGAATAACTCTGGTAAAAGTACTTGTGGGACTCTAAAGACTGCTATAACCAAAAGTCTGGCACGTCAGTAAATAAAAACCTGTGAGATACTTCAGTCATGCTGTGGGGGAAGTAGGTCTCGGCAGCAGAGCTTTGTGGTTGCTGAGGGGAGTAGGAAGCTCGCATCATGAGAACTGAAGCAGTGTTGTGCCGCTGATAAAGCTGACGTAGCTTACAGACCACATGAAAATAACACTGTTGTCTTCAACAGCCATCCTGGTACGTCCAATGCCTCCTCTTCAGCCTGTGCCAAGAGGTGAACCGGGTCGGCGGTCACACTCTTCCAAAAGTCACCTTGCAGGAGTTGCTGAGGACCTGCATGGCAGAAGTGCTTGCTGCCTATGAAAAGCTCGTGGAAGAGAAGCAGGAGAAGGTACGTGAGTAGGATCAGCCCTCGCTCCAGCGGGGGTGGGACGGGAGGGTCGCTGGTCACACGGTGATGCATATAGTCCTGTCCCTCAGAACAGACACTGTCTGCCTGTGAAGGCCAGAAAGCATGAGTGTATTCTTCCTCTGCCTCCCCCAAAAATGAGGCAAAAAGGGATCAGACACCAGACTGCATGCCCAGAACGGTTCAGTTAGGTTGGTTGTTTCTTGGTGCTGGTGTTTTTAAACGTTTTCCCTGAAGCAGTCCTTTGACAGTGCTCTCTGCGTGAAGAGCCCTGTTCCTGACTGTCCTATTTGCAGAAAGCAGGCACCTTCCCCATGACCCAGAACAGAGCTCTGCAGTTACTCTACGATCTGCGGTACCTGAGTATCATCTTGACGGCGAAGAGTGAGGAAGGAAAAACCAGCAGGATCAAGCATGACTCCGGGTGCGGCACAGCTCTGCGGTTCAGATACTATCAGTAGTTTGTGGGGCCCTAGAAGGGTTTGAAGCACCAGCCTTGCCGGCTGCCAGGAGGATGCCTGCGGGAGTTGTGCCTTTGGGCCTCACGGGAGAAGGGCAGTGCAGACTCTAAGCTCTGACATCTTCACCAATGCTAAGCTCATCCTCAAAATGTAGGAGGAGGGGTGGGATTCTGCGGCTGAGAGCTCGGAGGCAGCGGGCTCGTTCCCCTGCTTGTGTCCGCAGTGTGTCTGTACGACAGCAGGGATACCATCAGAGGATGCCCTTGGGGAGAACAGTTAAGCTTCCACCCAAGAGTTAAAACCTTGTGTGCGCTCCAGTCTTGAGAACTGGGGCATCTCTCTTGGATACTTACCACAGGGAGAAGGTTCCTCTGCAGCAGCAGATGGAGTAGGTTGTGTAATAGCTGGAGCCCCTTTAGGCAGCTGCTGTTCTGCTGAGCAATTCCCATTTTGCTCAGTCACCTCTCAGGGCCAAGTCCCTCACTGTTTCGGAGGGAGCAGTGAAACTGCCCTGTTGGCAGGAGCAGCCGTCAGTAGGACGTAACCCCTGACAGGACTCCTCTGCTCTGCTTGTAGGATTGAGAAGGTGACCGACTTCCTGGAGGGACACATAGATCCATTTGACTTAGATGTTTTTACTCCACACTTGAACAGCAACCTTAATCGCCTGGTTCAGCGAACCTCCGTAAGTTCAAGGAAAAGGAAGGGCTGGATCAGGAAGCAGGGCTGCAAAACCCGTTTTGAAGGGCAGCTGGGGTGGCTTTATAAACTGCTTAATGCCTAAAGATAACTACTGGCACTTACTCGGAAGTGGGAAGAGTATTTAATGCCAGCTGAAGATAAGAGGAGCTTGCTGAGCTGGCTGCACGGCATGTAATCATGCATGGAGTTGGCTGAACTTTATCTAACAGGATTCACTGCAGCCTGTGCAACACTAATTGGGTTACATAGTGCTGAAACAGGCGTAGAACTCAACTGTGGTAATAAAGAGCAGCACCAGTGAAAAGCAAGAGTTAGAGAGGAGAGACACTTCGTGTTCAAACTTGAAAGCAATCACAAGCGGCATACCTGTAGACTCACCAGCAATGCATTGTGTGGTCAGCTCTGCGGCTGCCCCCAAATACAGACAGCTCCTTCGTGCCTTCTAGGTTCTCTTCGGCTTGCTGACGGGGACAGAGAACCAGTATACGAGCAGGAGCAGTGCTCTCAGCTCCCAGGAGCTCCACAACATCTTGCCGTTAGCATCCAGCCAGATCAGGTAAGGTACTTGGCTCTTCTGTGCGTTCTCATGTCTCTTTGGGAAGCGGGTCTAGAACTGCTGCTTCCCTGTGACTGGCTGTATTTCTTTCTTCCATCTCTTAAGATTTGGACTTCTGCCACTGAGTATGTCAAGCTCACGAAAGAGCAAGTCTGCTACCAGGAGCACAGAAAGAGTTCAGGTTGGTAAAACTGAGCAGTAGTAACTTTTTGTCAGGGCTTATTCTCCTACCAATGCTAGAGCTTACCGGGAAAGAAGAAAGTAGCCAAACAGTTAATATTTAACCTGATTTTTATTTGGGGTAAAATGAGAGAACCATTACGGCAACAGCATGTGATGGTTTGGATTTCCCCTTGACCCTCAAAAAAACCCCGATGGCCCCTGTATTTTTGGGGACCGCTGCTCCATAGTAAAACATAGGCAATAACCACCATGAAAATGCAGTGAAGACTCATACAGATGAGGCATTTTGAGATCAATGCATAAATGACAATTCGTTTAAAGATGGCTGCAAGAAACGTTGAAGGATACTAGCTAATTATTTTAACTCCTTTCCAGTGCGATGCTGACCCCTAACTCCTGACGAAGCCTGGCTTGGGTATTTAAGCCTGTGTGAGCAGAGTGGCTTGCTTCTCCTGCAAAGGCTCTGTGTTGTCCTGTTTCCGAGCTCAATCAGTAGACAAGCATTATGTTGCTATGTTTCCCCTAGTTTAAAACATCTGCTTAAATGGAGCTCTCTATGCTGAGGATTGCGAGAGCCAAGGAATACCTCACTCCTACAGGAAGCAGTAATTAGTAATCTGCTTCCTTTAGCTATTATTAACCCAATAATCCATCTGTGGTGATGTCGTTTCAACTGGGACAGAAGAGTAAATGTCTGGTATTATCAGAGCAGAGTGTGTTACCTGAGATGCCGATGTTTACTCTGCAACTCTCGTTCTGCATTATTTGGAAGCATTAAGGACCAGACATAGTCTAAGCGTTGTTTAAAAGCCCAAAACTTCACAATAAAGGTATTCTTTACCTCTTACACCTCAGCTGTAGTAGAGTGTAGAAGTGTGCAGTGATGTTTGGCTCACTCCTACCACTCCCCTCGCCTGCTGTGGTGGCACACGTGTTCTGCGCTGGTCAGACTTCTCAAAATCCCTGGCAGGTGTTTGCTCCTTTATATGCTAAAACAGTCCAGGAGAGGTTAAAGGCCACGGTTACTCAAGAACAGCTCTGTGCAAGACCTGTATTTCTACCATGCTGTTATCCCCTTGCTCTGAGAGCAACAGCCCCTTTTCCCTGCAGGGCATGCGGGGGACATGGAATGACATGTGAAAAGTTACCTGTTGCTACCAGCAGCAAGGCGCTGTACTTCTGCCACTCAGAACTGCTGCTGTCTGCCTGTCGCTAACCACCAGGAGTGACACCGCTTAGGTTGTGGTTCAAGCTGCCTCAGAAGAGCTGTTCTGCTGTAGTCTACTCCTCCTTGCAGCTACTATATTTGAGGGTATAGAGTAAGTCAAAGGTATGCTGTAATAGTTACCGATGCTTTCCTCTTTAAAAACTAACAGGTTCCACCTTCTGCGCTCACAAGAGCGGAAGACGAGGCATCGCGCCCTGGGTCTTTGTTCAGGCAGCTTGTAGCTGAGGAGGAAGACACAGCTGCACCTTCTCTCTTCAAGCTGGGATGGCTTTCTGGCATGGCCAAGTGAGGCAATAAAAAATAAAAAGTTTGTCTGTGTATTCGTCTTCACTGAGATCGCTCTTTCCCCTTGGCAGGGACTGATGACCCCTCCGCTGGTATTGTCAAAAGAGAAGTACTTTTCCATCCTTAGCCAGATCACAGTATGCCACTTGAACCAGGCACAGGTCAGGACTGTCCTTGCCCTCTGGCTGCTGGAACAGAGGTGTAGCTACTCTTTCACCTCTTATTCCTTAGAAGCTGTTAACCTTAAAGTCAAATTAAAGAAAAACACACATACACACTGTAACAGAAAACAAAACATTTCACAGCCAGAAGTGGGTATTAGAACATCTCTCCTTCAAGAGCCCCTCCCCAGGCTACTCTGTGCTCTTCTCCACTGGCACCGTGACTCTGCTCTCTATGTGAGCACAGTGGGCACTGACATTTCAGCTTTCCCGGGCCTAGTTTCATACTTTTTTTCAATACCGCAGCAGTAAAGATCAAGCGAGATAAGGCTCGTCACACACCAAGCTGGGTGGAAAGTTTGCAGCTGGGGCATTTCTAAGGGCTTCCAGTGATGGCACCTATTCTTACTGTCTCATTAACTCTAAATGCTCAAAAAAATTATGTTGCCAAATAACTTTTTTACTAGTTTATTGAAATTAAAAAAAGACTTATAAAACTGAAGATGAACGTTCGGGAGAACTTTACATAAAGCAACAAATTGCTAACAAACAGATTAGGCAGTCGATTGGAATTGGACATTTTGCAATCCTATAACACAGATGTGGATTCCTCAGTCTTCTCTTGACACGTACTTTATAACCACCCCAAAAACAATCCTATAAAAATTGCTTCAAAGCCCCTTTTGCATTGCAATAGTGCAGCAAACCACAAGTAAACAATTTCCTGTTAACCTGTTATTTCAAATATAGACTGAAAAGGCAACAGGCGTTTTGTGCAATTCCATTTTAACAAACTTTTAAGTTGAAATATCAAATCTACACAGTGCTGTCCCTTCACAGAAGGCAGGGAACTGCTGGTTCATCATGTAGGAAGGCGTCCCCGGCTCTGTAAGCTGTGAAAGTGTGCCTCCTTCAGGATCTGGTTGATGTGGAAGTAAGGACCTTGGCTTAGTGCAGACTGCTCATGGAAGGACTGAGAGGAGACAGGACTGGATCCTGCAATTATCGGGTTTAAGCTGGTTTCTGCACCGCACGCTCTGTCAGGGCTGTTGATGCTACTGCTACTACAGCTGCTGCTGCTGCCGCTATCGCTGCTGGAGGACTGAGACAAAGAGAAGGTTAACAGCAAAACACATTTTTCTCTCCTGTCCATAATGAAACACACTTCAGTTAAGCAAACCATCTTTACAGTAAGTCCCTCCCTTCCAGACTTTCAGGCTCACGTTCAGCCTGATGGACTAACATAAATCCACCAAGTGCTGTCTTGGCATTCACAGCTTCCGTTATTGCCAACACGTGAAAAGCGTCACAGAGCTGAAGGGATGAGCAAGCCTTCACCCAGAGGTTCACTGACCTCCAGTACGTTGGATTTCAATCTTTTGCTTTTAGGTCCCACCAGCTCTGCCCCCATGACCCACGTTAGCACTAGTGAAGTTTGCTGAATTCATCCGAGAATTGGAAAATAAAGAACATTCCTACTGAACTGCAGGTGTCAGTAAAGGCAGGCAGGGCACGAGGAAAAGTTTGTCACTTCTGTTCTAGCAGACATTTTAGGTAAGCACCATGCAAAGCATTTCCCTACAGGTCAATCTTTCTAAAATGAGAACTGAAGCATTCAAAGCAACAGGCTGTTAAAAACAAATGCAGCACAATACCCATTTTAAGTCTTTGAACACCTTGACATACGCACAACTACTCTTCTCCCAGTTAAGTACTGGGACTGCAATGTTAACTGGTAGTTTTCCATCACAATTTACTTGACGTGACAGTGAAAGAGCAACAGGCATCAAAGACTTCCACATGTAGAAAAGAGAACTCAAGATTTAGTTCACATAGAGGACAGAGCTTATTTTCCAGCATTTAGGATAAACACATTTCATGGTAATGACTGGAACGGCATTAACTATCCTTTTCAGTGTTTCAAAGACATAAAACTGTTTGGTTTACACCATTTTAAGGGCTGCTAATGAAAGGTTCCATTAGTTACAGCTGAAATATTTCATTACTGTGTGATATGCTGTTCAGGACAACGCTGCAAATATTTAGGTGCTTAAGAATCAGAGAATGACTACTTTGCCAACCGGTAAGAAGTAAATTCACAAAAGTAGCCAGCGTAAGTGACAACACCTAAAAAAACCCCCACATTTTTCTAAGTATTAAACTAAAAACACAGAAGTCAAAGCTGGGTGGCCACAGCAGAGGAAGACAAATTTAAAGAAGTCCGCGGGAATTTAACAGGCAGCACCACATCCAGAAGGCCGCACTTTGGAGTAAATCTGAAGAATTGTGCAAACTGCACCCGACATGTCTGTCAACGGGCAGTGAGGAAGGCCCAGGAAAGCACTGCGTGAGTATTTGAGATGGACCACATCTCAATGCCGACTGGAAACCCCACGGCACCGATTCCACAATCGATCGTGACAATTCAACCATATAAATTTCCACGTTTTACTAAGCACCAAAAATGCTTCAGTTCTGCTGTAGTACAGCAAGCAAGGCAGTGGCACCGAGGCTGCACCCGCGCTGGCGTAGTAGGTTTAGCTATCAAGGAGGAAACACACGTGAAGGCTTTCCTGAGGAAGCAGCAGATATAACTACATGAGCAACCAGCTCCTCTTCCTAATGCTGCTAACAGTAGAGAGGGGGAGAACACCAGAAGGACAGAGAGAAGCCATGAAATGGTGCTTGCTAGACCATCTCATTTTGCATAGAAGCACAAATATTGAAATGCAATGCTGTTACGCTGAAAAAGTCACAGCAGCCTTGGAGAGAAACCCACCGCACAGGACACTTTGTTTCCTTTTAGTCTGTGTTCCTTACTGTTTTTCGTTACAGCCACCTTCTGAAAATCAAGGTAAAAATCGAAATGAGAACCTAGTATTACTTACTGCTAAAGTTTCACATCGTAACAAACATTTTAGAGCTGTTAGTAATGATTATTTTATGCATGTCTGATTTTTTTTAAAACTGAGACAGTGTCCTGGGACGTGCTTCCTACATCTAAGGCTGTTGACAGATCTGGTTTGTCATACCCTCTTTATTTCCATTTCTCTAATGCAAAAATTCACTAGCACGTGAAGCCCGTTTATTGCCCAAATCACGTCAAAGACCTACCATTTCCCCAGGCTGTGGTGCACATTCTGTTACGCATTTGGACTACAATTAGACAAAAAAAGAATCCTTAAAGTCATCATGTCAGCAATGACAGGCATCTACACAATGAAACAAAGTTTTAAGCGAAAGGGCAAAGGAAAGTAGCCCAATGAAAGTTTATGAGTATTTTAAGCATCAAAAGGACATCTCCACGGTTTACCTGACTCATTAGCTCTTCTTAACATCACACCAAGTAGCTATAGAAGTTTTAAATAATTTCCAAACAATTGTCCTCTTAAAATGTATTCGTCTGCTGATCTATGACGTAGCACCTCAATCATTCATGACAGGAACTTAGGAAACAGCCATTCAGACCCTGCTGCTCTCAAAATCTTTCAAGATGAGTTTAACAGAGGCATAGTCTGGTTTTAATTAGAATTTAAGACCAGCCCTTCCTCAATAGTGTAATACTGTAGAGTGGCATAGCTGCAATGCTAGACAAAAACTTTGATTTGAAAGAAGCGACTGCTGCTGTGCGTCAGCAATCTCCACCGACAACACAGTGGTGTTTCTAAGCTCTGGGGAATCCTGTCGTCGGTCATAACAACAAAGAGGAACCACGAGAAACGAGGTTTTACAGAAGAAAGTTATTCAGGAAGGAAAAGAGCTAGTCAGAACACTGCAGACTCCCTTCCTTCCCAGGAAAAATCAGAGCAAAGGGCTTTTCACTGGTGATTCCCCAGGTTGCAGAGCACGTTTTGTATATTCTCCTAATTCCCGTGAGCAGCCAGCCCCTCAGAGGATCCACTACAACTCCGCCTGCCTTCATGTACAGGACAGCAATGACAGGAGAGTAGGAAGGGCCTTTGCTGAATTTACAAGTGAGTACCAGGGAAACCAACACAGCTGACCTCTTAATAAATGGAGGACAGGCTGAGCAGGAAGTGAAATGCCGTGGCAAATGCTCTGCTTCGCTAATGTTTAACATTCACTGTAGTTCTAGTCCAGCGTTTTCATTATGTGCCTGTTCATGGACTGAACTGCAAAGCAGAAGGTGACTGTCCTCCTCAGAGTGGCCGTCACCTAGCAGTATGGCAGTGGTTTGTTCCAGAAGGAGCAGGAATTGCACACTGTTACAGCAATTTGCTAAGAAGCAGTGCTGATAGAGACTGAGGAGAATCTCAATTCCCCTCTTGTAAAAGTCTGAGTCAAGGGCGCTGTGTACCCTGGATGAAAGGACAATCTAGTGGGAGAAAACAGCGCTATCCTTCTGCATCGTATCTAGCTCAGGTGAGCAGTGGGATTCAAAGTGAGGGACTGAGGGGTAACATCACAGAGCAGCCTGTGTTTGAACTGCCACTAAGACAAAAATCTCCCTTCATCTTACACATATTGCTGTCAGCTATGACAAGTAGGACAATAAAAAAAAAAAGGGGGGGGGAGGGGGAAGAGAGATCCTGACAAAAGCCAAGTCCAGCTTTAGTAATAGGGCTGCCTGATTTTTCAAACTGAGGTTTATAGTCTCTCAAGTAAACCACGCTCTGCAAGAGAAAACAGTCCACTTTCAACTGCAGGAAGACAAAAGGAATCAGTACTTTAGATAATGTTTCACAAAAAGCAGGTGTGTGTATGTCCTCACATGAAAAGCAATTCTCCCGTGTACTCTTTGAAGTTACAAATTGCTCTCACACACACACAGTTTCTCTCCTAGTTCAATATCCTAAAGCTAGTGAGGATTTGTAATCAGCGTGAGCTGCCTTTGCAAATGGCAAAGAATCAGAAAACTAAATACAAGTATTACAAATGGCCAAGAATTTCAAAGTGACATCAATCGGAAGCACTTGTGCACTATAAGCACCAGAATTTCGCCATTTGGCACAGGAAGTCCTTAAAGAAACAGTCAAATAATACTGATTTTATCTCATGGCTTGAATTTCTGGGCATGCTCAATTCAGTGACGCAACACTACAAGAAAACAAGACGAAAAAAAGCCCCCAAAAAGCTCTATTCATCAGTAGATGACATTGTAAATTTTGTTCCCTTGAGAAAGGGAACATTGATTTTTGTAAAACTGTGTCCAGCGGGCGCATTCCTCCACTTCAGCAACAACAGTAAGAAATTCTCCTTGCCTGCACATCAGGGTTTAATGTGTTAAAAACATACTTTTACAACGCAAGTGCATGCATGAAGCAGGAGTCTTATAATGTTAGCCTCAGCAACTGAGCTCTGCACTGATTTCGCTGGTGGCGGGGCAGGCAGTGCATGCCCATGCTGTTCACTTGCAGGCACCCAAACAAAACAGCCGTTAAGGACAGAGTTAAGGTCATCCACTCTTGTGTGGCTACCACAAGACTATTTCCATTTCTGCATTTTAGCGGCTTTGCCCAGTCAAACGCCAAGTGTTGATATGACAAGCAAAGGTGCTTCTGCCACTCACCATGAAGGTTTTTCCTGATATTCTTAATTTCATTACTCCTACTTCAATCCCTTGTTCCACACTAAATTCTTCCTCCTCCCGCCACAAAGCTCGTTTAGCCATTAACTATTCTACACTCGAAGAGGTGTTTAACCTGTTGGACAAGTGATTCAGTGTCAGATGGCAAGCAACTATTTATGGTTCTACCCGTTATACCCGAGAAGCAAAACCAACTTCATCCCAGCAAGTCATACTTCTGGCAAAACAGCAGTACAGGAACCAGGAACATTTTTCATCACAGCAAATTCATTCATGATGAACATCTCGGCTGTTAGAGCATTTTCCATACAAAATCACTGACTATCGCATCAGCTACACGTAAAGGTGTACTGGTTAAAAGAAAGTCTCCCTCGCAAAAGGAACAGTGGGATACAGAACTTTCTATCATTTTAAATGTAAGTATACATTTGAAGCCATTACCATATAATAAAAGAGATGTTGCTCACAGTTACATAGCACAAAACATTTTCTGCAGTCAAAGTATATTTAATAGTTCAATATAACTGCAATAGTTCGTAATTACTCATTACAGCCAATCTTTGGAGTGAGAGGGCTGTACAAAAACCAACAAGGATATTTCAAAACCTTAAAAGAAATCTATTTCATGAACAAACCAGGAGGGAGCCTCTGCTCTGCACGCTCTTTTCCATGAACGTTTTGCAACAGAACTACATTGCTAATTAGAAATGCATACAGTGAATTTTCAGATGATTAATACAGGCAACAACTAGGGAAATCTGGCAGCAGCTTGGAAATCAGCATTTTTTTAAAAAAAGAAATCTCACAGCTAGCAAATTGCACCATCCTAGAACACCTGTCATTTGAGCGATGAGAACAAGAGACAGTTTATCCCACGTCCAGCAAAAGATCATGGCAAATGCGAGTAGAAACCAAAATAGTTTGAGTTCAAGTGTTTTAGCTATGAACGAGCAAGTCTTGCTTAAACTGCTGAGCTCTATCAGAGCATTTTTTTAAACATCAGATAAGCACCACTGCCTGCAACAGGCAATTTGTGTATCACACTAGTTGGAATGCTTTTTGACTTTCTACCACAAATTACCACGTTACTATAAGTAAGTGCAAAGTTGGAAGAGTGGACAGCCAGGCAAAGTGACAACATGCACTTGTAATCCACCCCAGTCACCTCCTCCATTCTGGATACGCTACACCTTTTTTCAGGCAGCAAAACTAAAAGTGGCAGCAAATGCTTTTCTTGTTTCTTCACTTGGGTACTAGTTATCAGTATTTGAAATAGATTAACAGAAATATTCAGGCCAAAGATAACCAGGTTCACTGGAAAACATGCTGATTTCCAAACCGCGTTTTACAGATTTCAATCTCTAAAGTACGTAACAGAGTCAAGCCTCATGACCTCACATACAAAGAAAAAAAAAAGTTTTCATTAACTACTCTCCATGAACAAAATTTCTCAGAATATTCCAATTATTATTTAAATTCAGCATTAAAGAAAATGGAATTTGCCCAGGAAGGCTCTCACCTCAGTGTCCCAAGAGTCCTGAAGGACAGTATTCCTGGTACTACGTTTTGTCTGGGGAACATGACTTTCATCTTCATTGCCATTCCGTCTCCTCTTCCTGAAGAAAGTTCAGGGAAAAAGGAGAAAAAAAAAATTAGCAATCTACTCATATACCTTCTGTTTTGTTCTCTAAAGGTAACTCTACAAAAAAAGCAGGAAAACTTGATAAATGAATGAACAATGTATCTAAACCTCTGACATGCTGTGGACTTTCATGTTCTCTTTTTAGCTGTTCTCTACAGAATAGAGAGAAAATGATCGTGTTTCTCACAAAGAAGCCAAGCTGATATTTTTACATCAGTTTAAGGGACATGGACCTACACTTGCTATTAAAACCAGTGCATCTTTCCAAATAAACCTGTTTGACAATTCTCAGCCTTGCAACTGCTCTCAGTATTCAGGCACATCTAAAAATAAGCCTGGGACTTTGAATGACATCTGACAGGCTGAGAAAAGCACCCGGGAAGACTGGCAGTGACTACACTTTCAATAAATACCCAATTACGTTCATCTTGCTCACATGAGTCTGCAGTTAGGGCCTATGATGACTTTCTTCAGTCTCTCCACATTGACTTTGCATTTGATGTCAAGTCACGTTCCTCAGCAACATTATTTTCCATGAAGAAAGTTTTGTCAGAAAACACCTCACGGAAGACAACTCCTTCCTTGTTTCTGATGTATTTGCCATCCTCTTATGACATCAGTGTCACTTCACAGCAGATCAACAGCAACCTAGAATCCCTACAAACCAACGTCCCTCACTGTCTGCAGAATTATAATACTAATATCAAATTATTTTTCCCACCATACAAACACCACAGGTCAACCAGGACCTCAGCACACTGGGCACTATCTAAAATACAGGATGGAGCTGTTTTGGTGGCTAAAAATTAACACATGCTCAAATGAGTCAAGACAGCCTCAAGTGAGGTATTTATAACAATTTTTTCTTACAGACAAGCTTCAGCAGCAGACTCAGCTGCCAGTACTTGGTCCACGCCTACAGACCAGGAGCTGCCTCCTCGCTCTCCCATCCCTGGGAGGCTCGCAGCACTTTCAACCGTTGCCCACCACAGTCCATCAGGTTCTTCCTCCCCTAGGACCACTCTTCTAGAAAAGACATTCCCCCCTCTCACTCGACATTTGCACTGTCTCTATATTCTTCCTTTTCTTAGTGTCGGCAGCCCACAAGCAAACTCAACACCTCCGTCCCCCACGGCCTACCCCGCTGCCTCACAACTCCAGGCACTCACAGCCCAGCTCCTACACGCTTCACGGTTCCTCCTGTTTCTTCCCCTACCTCCTCCCCCTCCCCACCAAGCCGAGAAATGCTCCTCCAGCACACCTTGAGGCCCCCATATCCTCTGCATTCTCTACGACCGACCATTTGATCTCCTAAACCCCACCAACTGCTCCCCGCCCCCAGCTACACCTTAAACATTCACAACCGCCACACTCCCAGACCCAGTTTAACCCCTTCCAGAGATCAGGGGGCCGCTCCCCTCCTTTCCCCCCATCCCTCACCCTCTTGTTCAAGCCAACCCCTCTAGGACAACGTGAACCACCTCCCTCACCCTCAGACCCTCCTCACGCCTCCCCCGGTCGCCACGTACCCCCCAC